AAACTTGTTCTATATGCTATTTCAGAGCAGAGTGACATAACCAAGACAACTAGAAGAAATGATTAATGTGTTAGGAGCTGTTTACAATTCATGAAAATTCTTTTTTTCAGAAATAGTTGTGTGAAAGCAAACTATTTATGTCTGTAACAGAATGTACAGACCTTTCAATTTGTTCAACCCCTGTCAGTTCTATATACCTTATGATACATTTTGAACTAACTTACACTACCAAATAATAATAAAAAGTTTGGATGTTCAAATTCTTAAAGTAATGTTTATAAGATTGTGACTCATGCGCACACAGAAGACAGTTAACTTAGAGATCAGTGTACCATTGGGGAGAAACCAGGAGAGGGAAGTGCTCTGGAATGCAGAGTTAGCAAATGAATGTAGCAAATGGAATTGAAAACCCTCACACTTCCCGGTGGAAAAAGACCTGCAGAGATTGTTGGCGGGTTCGCTGAATTATTTGAGATCGGCAGTCACATCCCAGTTAATGAACAACAGAACATCTAATAAGGAGAGGAAAACATGCAGCAGATGGAGGTGGCAGGATTGGTGGCTGAAGTTCACATAAGAAACCGAGTGAGATCGATTTTAAACCATGTTACTAAAAATAACTTTACAACTTACAACTAAAGATTTTATGATCAATATTTTAAATTGCCTTTTTCAAATGCAAGCCTTTCTGTCAAGATTTCAAAGGAAACAGGTGCCTGGTGATGAATTGTGCATGCTGATTCACCAGTGAGATTCCATTTCAGCTGAACTTTGGACTTAGAAAGATCGTTTTTTTTATCATCTTTGAAAAGATTCCACACACATTTCATATGTCTCCTTTCTAGGCACTCCAGACAGGTTAAATTGTGGATATTCAAGTAATTCAGTGAGAATAATAACATCTTTTACCCTTTTCAATCGTGAAATTTCAATCAACTGCTAATCAAATACCAAGCCTTACCGATCGCACCTTATCAACAGTTTTGAGAAGTGGAAGTGTGGCTTTCTGCAGTTTAGGAATTTAAAGACATAGTCTTGGTTCTTTAGTTGCACTTGATCTTATTTTCACATTAATAATTTGAGGATCATAATGATTTAACTGTTAGTCTACAAAAACAAATCAGTCATCAGGGGCATATTTCAAAATAAATAATCTCATAGGATCAAAGCTCCATAAGATGAATGTAGCTAACACAATGGCTTACCACAAGATCATCCAAAAAGCAATGACCTCTATACTGTGAACCAGAAATAACATCTGCTCCAGCTTCTTCTACAGCTGCACCACCGCTAGTGGCATGCGCAGCACAGTGTGACACTGTGCAAAGGTCATTCGGATCATGAGAGAACATCTATTTTTTTTCTAAACGTCTAGTTACATCAATTTCCCTACGGGATTAATAAAGTATTATCTATCTATCTCTAGTTAAGCTGTGTCACTGATAGAAAAATGAACGTAAAAAAGGACAGTGCCAAGTTTTAAAGTTACATTTTAACATTATATTTAACAAACAGCATATTCTTTCCAAACAGTGGGTAGAACACGTGCTTAGTATGAAAACGTGCCTCATGAATGACATGGAAGCCCATTTAAAAATGTACAACAGAAGACACCCCTTTCAACAAAGGTTGTAGAAGTATGGAACAAGCTTTCTATTCTTTCTGTTGAGGCTGCTACACTGGATTCTTCCAAGAAACAGTTGAAGGAGAACCTTTACCTTCTAGCAACCACATGATTTCCTTTCTTATGCTCATTTGATCAGCATGATATATACAGTATTTAAACCAAAAATTCCAAAATTCTCCTTTTTGAAACAAAAGTTTACATGACTAGAATTAATTGATTGTATTCGCATACTCTTTCCTAAGCACACTGTTTTGTGAACATTTTTACTTACCAGATCTTTTTAGAGAAATAAGACCAAATATTTCTTTTCTTGAGGTTCTTGCTTACAGCAAGACATCAACAACAAAGAGGTTTTTCATGTTTCATTTAGCCACAGGTTTTGATATCTTTGTCTTCTTATCAACATTCATCCCAAATGTATTTTATCTCAGATGAAACACAATTGGGTTGAAGGGATTTTGCTTGGCTATATATTATTTTGAAGTGTACGTTCATCTGATGTTATTGAGATTTCCAGTGTCTTCAAGACACTAATTTTTAAATTATTTTTGAAAGGACTAACAGCATGTGCTTCTATATTTAGAAAAGATAAAGCACGTCCTGTACATTAAACATCAACAGTGCTTTAACCATTTCTGTAGCACGATTCTACTTTCCATTCACATTTAGTAGGTTCAATGAGTTCCAGTTTTATGACAAACATAACACACTTTGGGCAAAGAAAACCTATTAATAAATTCTGACAATTTGTCAAGTCTACAGTCAATATGCCTACAGCTCTGCCCCCAAGAATTCCAGGTTTTTAATGCATATCTCTTAACTCAAGCTATTTATTGCTACCACTAAAGCTGTATTTTTCTGCAAAGCATTTGTTTAAGAACATTCTGTTTGAAACAGCATCTTTCAAACAAAATGTCAGCTTCTTGACATTGCACACAATAGAGCTTATATTTTGTCAATTTTTTAGTAAACACTAAATCTTCATAATGATGTGATGTTTGATGTGTGAAAGGTTTTAAATATTTTGAGTTGTTTGAGTCTTTTCACTAATTTTTCCCTTTTTGTCAACAGAAACACAATTCTATAGTGATCTTCATTATTAACATTTAACATTCCTCATTTTAAGGTAGCAGTTCAACCTGATGGATCTATATTAAATAGCATCAAGAGCAGTCATTTAGATTTATGGATGAATAGAACTGAACAAATAATGTTAATGACAAGAAATAGATTACTTTGAATCAGTTATATTTGATTGGTAAAGATGATGGATCAGCTACTATAGCACTTCATGTTGGCTGCTCATATGGTATATAGCTTAGAATGAGTTGTTTGATCACACTTTTGAAGTTCTTGATCAATGTAATTAAGATTACTAAATGACAATGTAATGTAAGATTACTCTCCCAAAGTAACCAATTTAAATAAATGTATCATAACAGAACAAAATGTTAGAGGAAGATTTGAATAAACTGTTGTTGCTTATAACCACTATATACTGTAATGCCTGTGTATAAAATGTCTAAGACTTTATTCACACAGATTGTATTTTTGGCATGATTCCACTGGTGTTAACTCTAAAAAATTTAAAACTGCCAACAATAATGTTTTTGAAATTAAACAAAAACATACAAAGTTGAAGATTCAAAATGTTGTTTGCAAACTGGTTTGAAGCAAATATAATCAAACTAACAATATACAATGCCCCATTGAAAGAGTTTTGTTATGTACAGTGCTGCTTCTTTATTCAGATAAACAAATGTTCATCATTTTATTAAGAAACTAACAGCATGAATTTAGATTCAGATTCATGAAAAAAGTTACATTATTTTTTTTCATATCTCAATATTTCTTATTACATCTTTACATGTCTGTTTATTAAAATACAATACTGGGGATTTCTGAAACCGACACATGTAGTACAACCCTTTACCTCTGTTTCTTGTATCTGTATTTAGATGTTGTCCAAAATGACAGTGTCTTCTGCTTACACCTATCTAAAATTAGTTCTGAGCAGCTGCTTTGCATTCCTTGATCACACAAAAGTAGCACCTGTTAATGGGTATATGTGGTATACAGTATGTCACTTTAGGAGGGCAGAAGCCTGGGGAGACTTAGACTGATAAGTTCCTGGTGATTTATTATCCTGTACATTGTTTATTGTGTCCATTCTGTTGCTTAATCACAAACCATTTCCTTTGTAAAATTTGTTTACATTAGCTTACAGAATAATATGAAGTCATTTCTGGTCTATAACACTATATTAACAAATCTGTTGAACAGGGGAATGTTATTTGTACTGTTTGGTTTGTTATTCTTTGACAAATTAAAAAAGTGCTCAGTTATATACAAATAGAGCACATTAACTGATCATTCTGAAAAAACAATTATAGACATTTCAGTCATTTGATGACTCATGTAGCCCTAATAATTACTTAATATGCAACACCTAACAAGGACAGCAGTGTAATAATATGGGAGAACACAGTGACAGGAAGGTCAAGTAAAAGTAGAGACAAACTATTGTATAAATGAGGAATGATCATGAACATTGTATACATTAAGTTTCATGTATCAGCAAATAATAGGTATTTGGGGTATTGTATATACTCTAACTTTCTATTACAAACAAAAATAATAGCAATAACAATGTAAATTACTCAGTTCTACTACAATACCTGCTACAGATTGTGATTACTATTTTTAACCTCTATTACTCTATTACTCTATTACTATAGATGTCTTATCAAAATGTTCTTTTCGCAGGATAGCTATCATCAACTGAATTCACGTGTATCTAATAGGAATGCACTGTACTCATATACATGTGGGTAAAATATGTGTATTTTCAGAAGAACTCTAGTCTACATTTGTATTCTTCAGTGAAAAGCTTACTTTTAAACTAGCAAATTCAAATAAAGTTTGTTTTAATTACAGAGGTATTCACTAATGGGCAAGGGGTCAGCATTAACCTGGATCAAGTTCCATGACTTCTTCAAGTTAGGCTAATATCACATTGAACTGATGTTTATTTCAGCATCAGCTTAAAAGTACCAATTCTAATATATAACCAACATAAATCGGTGATTACAAAACTAGAGGGTTCAAAACAAAATAGAAAGCATAATGTAAATATTTAAATTAAGTCAGAATAAATAGTCTAAATCTAATTTCTTGTCAGCCGCAGTTTGCTTTTTGCACTTTAGTTGTATATATAAATGCAGCATACCTATTTAGAATACGTTTTAAAAATATTAGAGAAGAGTGCTTCCAGAAAAAAAAAAGTCAGTTCTAAGACATCAAAGACATTTTGTACCGCAAGGAGACGTTAGTTTTGAAGTAAAGCGATTACATTGGTAAATGTTCCACTCACCCCTTTGCTGAGCTCGAATGTATTGCCATAGCAACGCTATGAGTGCAAAAAACGAAAGACTTTTCATTTTGAGTTTTACACCTTCTTCATCACAGCACAGTTCTGTCTGGCGGACACACTTTTGTGCAACGGACTAAGTGCTTTCAAATTGTGTGGAATGTCAATGGAGACCTCATTTCAAGTTCAGTGAAAACGCTCCCCCTATCTTTAAGGAGAGGGGTGCCAAAGCAGTGAACAAATATTTTTTTTATGTATTTGTTGACAATAGTTTTAAAGTATAAGAGGTTTTCCGTTGTAAAAATTCAACTATGTAGTATGAGGAAATGATTAAAAACAATCTAAAAATAGAAACTACAATAATAAGTTATATTAAGTATAAAGTTTAGGATTACATCCTGCTGTTTCAGTTCCTAAAATGTGCAAGTGAATTTTCAAAATAGATCAAAAACATATATGTATACCCACACAGCTGGATTTGACTACAATAATGCGTATGTTGTACATCAGTACAGACCATTAAAGGAATTATAAAGGAGAAACACACAAACAGCGTGATTGAATAGATAAAAAGTTCATCATTACTTCTGTGATACAAGACGATGATTAATGCGTTAAAACAAATCCATTACCCATTGAATGAATTCCCGAATACGCATGATTTAGTCTACAAAGATGCTGATTAGAATGCAATATTAATCATATTTATAGTACCAAATTGCAAAAAGATATTTTTTCACAGATTATTACTGGAGCTCTTTATCTTTACGATATCGCATATTTCACCATGAGAAACTTCAACTTCATCTATCGATACCCAGTTATAGAAATAACAGGATTAATAAAGTAATGAAGTAAAACTTAAAGGGCAGAAGATGGACTATGTAGCTCCCTCTGGTGTTTAACATACAGTAAGTACCTGACGAATTTGCGTGTCAGGGGGCATTAAGGTGTCAGATCTTACATAGGTCGTGTGGCATGGATTAAAATCGGTCCCTGACTAGAGATATAGTTACTGAATATTTTGACTTTAAATGAAAATTCCAAAGCAATCAGTGTCGACCAAACACTTATTGAATTTCTGACAGTTATGATAAAGAAGAGTGTATTTGTTATATTGCTTTCATTGAATAAGATTTAAATTATTTTGTATTTATAAGACTTAAATATATTGTGTATAAAACACAATGTAGATTTATAAAAAGTATAATAAAAATGTCTTGAACTAAAAAAAATAAAATAATTTAATTTCGTCCCTTGCCCAAAATCCAGACCTCCCTATGTCATTTATTAATCTACAGATACTGAGAATTTGACTAAAGGATTCATACATAACATATATTGGCATTTGAAAAAAAAGTTATATTTGTTGTATTAGATGAAGATAAGTCTATTTAAGTAGGTAAAACACCAAACAAAAACTATTTGCACTGCTTGTTTAGTGTTCGTTTTTTGTCTTAATTTTACTTTCCCTGAAGGAGAATGCCAGAGGATTCCACTCTCTCACAGGTCTGCAACCTATCAATCACTTGTTGCGTGAACTCATCTGTGTGGATGATGTGAGTGTCATAAGGAGGCAAATTATAATTTTAAATTCCCATTTGTGTGCTGTGAACCTCATTCAGTGTGTATTATTTAGACCCCACGATTGACATGCATTGCGTATAGTGTTGAGACTCGGAAGAACAACAGATTAATTTCTACTGCTCCTTTGTCATCTTTGTTGTCTAAAGCACTTGCATTATTATATGATGAAACTCTATTGTCAAGGTTTTGGAAGACAGTTGTAAAACAAATACGCTTTAAAATATGTTTTTCAGAAAAATGAACTGGTTGGGAACTCAAGCTGAGCTTTTCCGTCTCCTGAAATTGAGAAGGTACAGGTGTACCTACGAAGGTGATGAGGAGAATCTAAATTTTGTCCAGAGGGATGAATTGGATAGGACCCACAGGGAAGACAGGGAAGAGCCAGATGGATCGTTAACCTCTACAGGAGCACAGGATGCTGAAAATTCAGCTATAAGCTCACCTGGCGCTGGTTTGGACAGCAACTCCAATCGTATCACAACCTGGGAGGCTGGATGGAACGTCACTAACGCAATCCAGGTAAACATCACCTGTTGTCTTGTGACATGACAGGGAATAATAAATCCTCTGTGTAAATTAAATTGGGGTTTCAGGTTTTAAAATCATTAAACCATTGCTTCTGAACCATGATGTAAAGGTTTTATTGCAGTGAAGTTTAGTTCTATAGAGAAAAGAGCTGTATCTCATATTTACTTTTATTTTAGATTTGCCATGCTTTTTGTGATTTTCTCCTGATTTTTTTTCACCACAGAGAAGCATACTTCCTGCTTGATTATTTATTTAGCTGTTACTTTATTTGCATTGTAAATACAATATAAGAATTGTATTTTAGTATGGCTTCTTCAGAATGAACAGTGCATCGTGAGCTGGAGAACACAAGCAGAAACTGTGAGGATGCACATTTAAAGCCAGGAACAAGAAGCAAAGGCTTATGGAAATATGTTACAAGCTACCAGCCATGTTGTTGAAGCTGATACCCTGGTTTCTTTCATTAAACATGCCAGAGGAGATTCTCAGAACAATTAACCATTAACAGTTAAACTGGCTAAATGGACGGAATGGAACAAGTAAAGGTTTATTCAATGCTGAAAGAGAAGAAAAGAGACACAACATATAGGCTGTGGAGCCTTCTTTGGGTTCTTTTCTTCTCTCTCCAGCATGGGATAAACCTTTACTTGTTCCTTTGCAGCCTACGCATGCTGACGCAGCTCCCTACTTAAACGGATGGAACGGTCTCCTTTCATTTCATTTACTCTGTTCATACTGAATGTTCTTCTTAAGTGAATGAGTTCCGAAGGCAAAAGAGAACATTGAGATGTTATTTTGTTTTATCTCCAGGAGTCTAAAATATTACCTATAAATGAAAAACTCAAATGCATTATATTAGTCATTTTTGCAGATGTGGCTGTGATAATAGATACATAACCATGACGTGTTTTGCTATTTTGTATCGGAGATCACACTATAATGTCTCAGGAGTCTGAGCAGTGCAGATGGTCTACAATCATTATCCATACCACAAGAGCAATAGGTTAAAGGATTATTTGAACTGCTATCGCTGCCAGCTGTTTTTTTCTTCACAAATCAGATTTTAATTAATTTAGTACTGTCTTCATTTGTGCCGGTTTATCATCAAAATAGCTTGCCTGACTGTAGAATGACTACATCATTTTTAATAAAACAAATATATGCACTCAGAATGAATAGCATTTCACGAGTTCATCTGCTTATAATTTACGTCCTGGTCTAGCGTCAAACAGATAAAAAATGTACTGTTTTCTTCTCCTTTCGTCTATGGTTTATTGTTGCAGGGCATCACAATATTTACATAAACTTTATTAATACAATGTTAACATTGATTTAATGCTCCCCTTACGAAAATAATAAAAAATGACTTAACACTAAAAGTGAAAAAATAAACCCTGTACTGTCCTAGAAAAGAAGTCTGAATGTTTGTTTTTCATTTTCTCCAGGGTATTTTTGTTTTAGGACTGCCTTATGCACTCCTACACAGTGGGTACCTCGGTTTACTTCTTATCGTCGTGGCGGCAGTGATCTGCAGCTACACTGGAAAAATTCTCATTGCCTGTCTGTATGAGGAGAATGAAGATGGACTACCAATTAGAGTCAGAAGTACTTACGAAGACATTGCTAATGCCTGTTGCAAGCAGCTGTTTCCCCGACTCGGTGGTAAAATAGTCAATGTGGCCCAGGTGGTTGAACTGGTAATGACATGTATTTTGTACTTGGTCGTCAGCGGAAATCTCATGTTCCACAGTTTCCCATACATGCCTCTCTCTCAGGCAGCTTGGTCAGTCATAGCATTTCTCACCCTGATGCCCTGCATGCTGATCCGCAACCTCAGGGTGGTGTCCAAGCTTAGCCTCCTTTGCTCCCTGGCCCAGTTCATTATCACTTTCATAGTCATTACCTACTGCCTAACCCAGATTCACCGCTGGTCATGGAGGAGGGTAAGGTTCTCTATTAACTTTGAGAAATTTCTGGTGTCTGTTGGTGTCATTATATTCAGCTACACATCACAAATTTTTCTCCCTACCTTAGAAGGCAATATGAAAAATCGAGGCAGCTTTGCAAAAATGATGACCTGGACTCACTTTTTTGCCTGTGTCTTTAAGACAGCCTTTTCTGTGCTGGCATTCCTCACATGGGGTGAAGAAACCAAGGAAGTGATTACTGACAACTTGCCCACAACCCTGCGCATGGTAGTTAACTTGTGCCTCTTAGCAAAGGCTCTCTTGTCCTATCCTTTGCCCTTTTATGCAGCAGCGGAGGTTTTACAATGCTGCTTCTTGAAGTTAGACCTGACACACCCAAGTGTACAAAACAAGGCCTTAGCACTGCGTGGCTGTCTGTTGCTGTTAACGTTTTTAATGGCTATGTACATGCCACATTTCTCCCTCTTGATGGGCTTAACTGGCAGCATGACAGGTGCTGCTATGACTTTTCTCTTACCCTCTCTTTTCCACCTGCAACTGAAATGGCGAAAACTGGAAATCAAGGTTAAGGTCCTTGATATTTCTATTTTAGTACTGGGGTCCCTATGTAGTCTGTCAGGAGTTATTTGTTCAATTAAAGGATTAATTGAAGCCTTTGGAAATACATAAAGTGTCCACAATGCTCCTAGATGGCATTTGGAGGTGCAACCATTTAAGAAATACACTAATTGAGCAAAAAATGTTCTCAAAAAAAGAAATGCTTAAATGCTGTCCATAAACACTATCTGAAAATTGCTTTCCTTGGTTTACATACTTAATTTCAAAATACCTCGCAATATGATCCCAAATTCAGAGAATGGCAAAATCAGCATTCACTGACATAATTACAGAAACCCTGCATTTGCTTTCACATATTGTACCTTCACTCATGGCTGATTAACATGCTACTAGAATATTTGTAATTAAAGCTGACAGAAGACACGTATTATTATATATTTAACTGATGCTTTTATCCAAAGCAATTTACATCTGTACCCAATTATACAGCTGGGATTTTACTAAAGATATTAACTTACACATGTATTGTTGTGTTTGGAAAAATATTATTAATATGCATACCCATGATTCATAGTTAATGCTTGCTCTTAAATAACCACCATGACCCAGCATGGAGATTCTCATAACAAGTTAGCATTGCTTTCTCTGCTGCAGCATGTTCATGGGTGGACAAAGACGACAGTCAAGGGAAAGAATGAATTTTATAATGATGCCTGTGCAAGAAAGACACTAGGGGAGCACTCCACACTGTTTTGTGGGAGGCTGCCTCTTGGAGTTAAAGGTTACTGTAAATTAAAATGGGGAACAGGGACAATATTGGTGAGTTGGTGTACTTACAGTACCTCCATATACAGTACAGTAGGTGTACCATGTCTTACCGGTAATTATTTTTTCCAGCATGATAATGCCACAGAATTGAAGATTCACCCAGACATTTCAGACTGAGAACAGTCCAGTTTTATACTGGCCTACCCTTTTCAAAAAACTAAATCCTAGCTTTAGACTTTGGTCAACAAAGATCCATTGTGGTAGGTAATCATGTATCACCAGCTTTAACATCATGAGGTGTGCCATTATTAGCAATTTCTTTCTCTCCATGAGCTGAAGGTGTGTTTCTTCAGTGCAGTCGTGGTGAAGAAGCAAACTAACTGGTTATTAATCTAGTTTTGATCAATAGTTTGAGTTTGATCTTGGGGCAGAGATGGTAGATGCAACCACAGACTACAGAAATGAAATGAGCTGTGTAGCGTTTTGATTCTAATAAATGATTACACAACCATTTGGCATCTCACAATGCACAAACAGTATAGTTTCCAAAAAGGTACACATGGCAATTAAAAAAAACATTGTGTATTTCTTTTGTAATTTTGTGTTTTGTTTGGTAAGTGGATGTGACAGTCATTGAAATTGCAGGTGACAACAGGGGGTAAGTTTAATATTGAAAGCACCACAAATAAAACATAAAAAAGAAATATGAACACAGAGCAGAAGGCCAACATCCTTGTTTGGGGGATATTACATGCATTTCATTGTTTCTTCACAATAAACCCCAGAGTGTGGTTAAATGTCAAGTAAACAATCAAAAGACATTTTGCAATGTTGTCTGTAAAAAAAATTGTATTTTGTTCTCTTAAGGAAGCATAATTATGTTTTTTACTATGTTTTCTTATTAAATGTATGGATAATTTATGTTTTTGTTTTTCCTAATGTTACATTTGCTTGTTAAAAATAATCATGAAATTAAATAAATATGGAATAGTTTACTTATCCCTTGTGACACATTAACAGGCTAAAAACACCAGACTTTTGTACACAAAGTGTTAAACAGAATTTTGAATGTCTAGGCTTTACCAGTGTGACATATAAGTTGTATTTTTTAATGACTGATATTGATCTGTTAACTATACCTGATGCCAGCATTACTAATGCCATTAGTTTCTACATACATCATTCATGTGTAAATTATCTGAGGTTTTCTGGGATTAGTGTGTTAATCAATATAAAACATTAATTGCATTTTCAGAGAGTCATTTCAAATGATTTAATAAAACTACTTGCCTGCTTTGATTGTTTTAAAGGAAACAAGTAAGCGTGGAATATTGTTATAGTGTATTTTTCCTAAAAGTGAATAAAATGTTGAGTGTAGCTCTTGTAGATACAAATTTAAAAACCTATCTCAGTTTTCACTTGCCTCATTTAATAATGTACTCATTACCATTTATGTCAGTGTTCATGCACAGTAAAAAGAAAGGACAAAACAGAGGTGAAAAATCAAAATCCTATATTTTCATTACCTGCATACGGAATAATATGTGTGTACTGTATGCAGGGACTAAATAAAGTATTGACTGCAATGGTACCACTGTTTCCAATGATATCCCAGGAGTATCATTAATATCCTCACCAAATTATATAAAATACTACACGAGAAGGGCTCCTGATTTGCTCAACCAGAGAATTTATCAGAGCAGAGGATGATCCCTGTAGCCATGGTATTTCCTGTCCAAGTCTGGGCTATACAGTATCATTAGTCAATAATGGGAATTCTCCAAGTATCTGTTGCACATCTAATTCACCCAGTTAATGCTAACTTGTTGGTAAAACATTCTGGAACTTGCAATTGCGCAAAATAGAAAATTGTTTGTAGGAAAGTAAACATTGGGCTTTTTGCTTGGTTTTATGACCATTACTGTGAGCCAAGTTAAAAAAATCATAAGAAATGTTATCACAATTGCACTTGTCAACACAATTTTGGAGATTTCAGGTTTCATGGAAAAGAACTTATAGTAGATGCATAGAACTGCTTATAGCAGAAGCAAATAAATAATCTTAACTTTTAGCCTTAAAATTGCTATTGCTTATTAACTGTTAACTAAGACAGGAACATTATTAACAATAAATCCTTTTAAACACATATTTTTCCAAGGAAAATTACTAAAATGTGATTGCTTTCAGCAATAAACCATATTTGGATTAACACTACTTCTCTTTTCAAGAAATGCCCTGGGATTTTGAATGTTCTCAAAAAGTCAGAACCTTGGTTTTCCATCTCATCCGAAGAACGACACCTTTTTTTACAGTATAGTGTTCCCGTCACTATTCTGGGGCATTAGGACCCAAACAGACTGCAGGGCGAGTGCCCCTTACTGATCCCACTAACACCTATTCCAGCAACAAATATAGCTTTCCTAGGAGGTCTCCCATCCAGGCTCACACCCGCTGAGCTTTAATGGGTCACCATTTGTGACTTGCAGGATGATATAACTGCTGAGTTCTTCTTTAAAACCTGTCTGATTAATGAACTGTTGGTAGGTATCACTTACATTTCTTCTTCATTTCTTCTTTGTTTACTCATCGTTCACTTACAGCGTTAAAATAAGTGAATACGGAATTGCCTTTGGAGGTCATCAAAACCTCTTTTGCTTTTCTAGTTTCCAAACATGAGTTTATAATTCTATTCATTCTGTCATTTTTATTTCAATATTAATACTTTGCAACCAAAATTCTGGAGATTTGATTTCACATAAATCTAGGTGTGAGCTACACGTTGGTGGTGGTGGAGGGGAGACCCCATTACTGTCACGCTCCCACTCTGTCCTGTCCCTAGTTTTCTGCCTGCTGTCCTTCCGGTCGGTCCCTCTCTTTCCCTCGGGCTATATATTTCCGGGTCTTGCACTCTGCTCTCATTCAGCATTGACGTTCGGATGTCCTGAAACCCGCCTAACCACCCAGGTCACCCCACGTCCGTTGCCTGAGGGCATTGGTTTCTACCTGACTCCTGAACTGCTGACCCTGGGCCTTTTTCCCATTCTGCCGCTACGCACATGGGTCTTTTTCTGCTTTCCTGCTCTCCACGGTTAGTCCCTTTGGACGTCTGTGACACTTACCTGCAAAACACTTTAAGTGGAGAATGCAGAAAAGTTCTGTAAGGAACTATTGTAAGGAATTATTGTTATTATTAAATGTGAATACATTACAAAATTATATCTATGTCATATTTCATGAATGAATTTCATCCACATGTTTATACATCAACATGTAAAAATAAATAGAGTGGAGTAGATGGGAGATGTTCAACACAATTAATAGACAGATTGGTAGACTATCATTGATAAACATGAGTAAGCCAGTTTCAGAAGTGGCCATACATGCCCAGACCATACTACCTCCACCGTGCTTCACAGGTGAGGTGGTGTTCTTTGGAGAGTGTACAGTTCCTTCTTTTCCTCACAATTTAACCTTTCTATCAGTTTGTTAAAAGCTTATGTTGATCTCACCATTCTCTAAAACTTTCCTGGCTCCGTTTTGTCCCTCAGACCAAATTCAAATAGTAGCTATCATGAGTTTAAATTTTAAAATATCTAAATAGTCGGTATTTAAAACATTGCGGAAAAACATCACTCCTGGTTGATGCACTGCATTCAGTACAAATTCCTAATTATTTGTGAAGACAAAGCTGCCCACGTAAATGTGCATTGCAAGTGCCAAAAGCACAATATGCATCTTCTTAACCCTCTTGCTTACTTGAGCTTTATAATTGGCCAGCTTGAATTTAATATTCTGTTTAACTGTCTCATTCATTTTTAGCACATAAAATGACTGAGTGACATTTCACTCATTCACTTCCACCCACACATAATCTCCCAAACTGTCTCCTTCGCTGTTTGCTATTCTTTCATCATCATCTCAGTGTGTCACTCAATAATTTTATTTATTAAAAAAAGAATGAGGCAGCATGACACAAGTATGAAAGCAAAATGTAGTACAACTCTTGCAAACGTAAAGAATAATAAAGGAATGGTTCACAACAATTGGGTGTTGTAAAGCCCAGTAAAAACCATGGAAAACGGACTTAAATGAAGAAAAAGGGTGATTAATGTCATAGATTAATGTTATTGATTTCCTCATTAGAGTTTAAAGTTGGAAGAAAACTTCTGCTTTTGTAATTAACTAAAGTGGTTATATGGGTTACATCTTTGGGAAAGGAAATGAAAAGTCAATAAATCAATGTGTGACATTGTTTGAAAAAGTATTTTCACAACAAACAAGGGTGTTTAATAAGAATTAGTTGCATATCTATAAAGGTCTCAAGATAACATGCAGAATTAAAA